GACAGTCATCTAACTGAAGAGACTCTGAAAATTTCAGCTGTTCCTGTATCTGCTGACCAGGGGACTGAAAAGACAATAGTTCCTTCTAGTTCCTATTCACGAAGAGAGAAGCACATTATTTTCTCCCAGCAACAGTTGTCAGATGGTCATCTAACTAAACAGGTTCTGAAAGTTTCATTTGTTCCTGGGCCAGCTGATCAAAACACTGGGATACCTACATTATCTTCACATTCCTACCCACTTGGAGAGAAGCCCGATATCTTTTACCAACAGGTCTTGCCAGATAGTCATTTAATTGAACAGACTCAGAAAATTGTGGCTCTTCCTGAACCAGCTGACCAGAAGACTAGGATACCCTCTACTTCTTACTCACACAGAGAGAGGCCCCCTATTTTCTATCAACAGACATTGCCAGAAAGTCATCTAACTGAACAGGCTCTGAAATTTTCTGCTCCTGGATCCACTGAGCAGAAGATTGGGATACCAACCTCTACTTTCCTCTCACGTAGAGAGAAGTCCAGTATTTTCTACAAACAGGAGTTGCCAGATAGTCATCTAATTGAACAGGCTCAGAAAGTTCCATCTGTTCCTGGACCAGCTGACCAGGATACTGGGATACCAGTAGTGCCCTCTAGGCCCTACTCTCTTGGCGAGAAGCCCAATGTTTTCTATCAGCAGGTATTACCAGATAGTTCTCTAACTGAAGAGGCTCTGAAAGCTTCATCTGCTCCTAGGCCAGGTGACCAGAAGACTGGGATACCAGCAGTATCCTCTAGTTCCTACTCACATAGAGAGAAGCCTGGTATTTTCTACCAGAAGGTCTTACCAAGCAGTCATCAATCTGAAGAGGCTCTGAAAGTTTCAGTTGCTTCTGAACCAGCTGAAAAAAATAGTGGGTTACTATCAGAAGCTTCTAATTTCTACTCACATAGAGAGAAGCACAATATTTTTTACGAACAGGAGTTGACAGACAGTTCTCTAACTGAACAGGCTCAGAAAGTTTCACCTGTTCCTGAACCTACTGACCAGAAGACCGAGATATCAACAATAACTTCTTCTTACTCGGATGTAGAAAAGCCCTTTATTTTCTACCCACAGAGCTTGCCAGACAGTCATCTGCCTGAAGAAGCTCTAAAAGTTACAGGTGTTTCTGAACCCACTGACCAGAAGACTGGAATACCAGTAGTTCCCTCTCCTTCCTCCTCACATAGAGAGAAACCCATTATTTTCTACCCTCAGGGCTTGACAGATACTCATTGCACTGAAGAGGCTCTGAAAGCTTCAGCCATATCTGTATCAGCTGACTGGAAGACTGGAAAATCAACAGTATCCTCTACTTCCTACTCATCTAAGGAGAAGCCCATTTTTTCCCCTCAGGCCTTGCCAGGCAGCCAGTTACTTGAAGAGGCTCTGAATATTTCAGCTGTTTCTGTATCAGCTGACCAGAAGACTGGGTTGCCATTAGAACCTTCTAGTTCCTACGCACCTAGAGAGAAGCCCATTACTTTATACCCACAGGACTTGACAGACAGCCAGGTGTCTCAGGAGGCTCTGAAAGTTTCAGCTGTTCCTGGATCAACTGACCAGAAGACTGGGTTGCCATCAGAACTTTCTAGTTCTGACTCACCTAGAGAGAAGCCCATTACTTTATACCCACAGGACTTGACAGACGGCCAGGTACCTCAAGAGATTCTGAAAGTTTCAACTGTTCCTGGACCAACTGACCGGAAGACTGGGTTGACACCAGAACCTTCTAGTTCCTACTCACCACAAGAGAAGCCCGTTATTTTTTCCCCTCAGGCCTTGCCTGGCAGTCAGTTACTTGAAGAGGCTCTGAAAGTTTCAGTTGTTCCTGGACCAGCTGACCAGAAGACTGGGTTGCCATCAGAACCTTCTAGTTCCTACTCGGCTAGAGAGAAGCCCATTATTTTCTACCCACAGGGCTTGACAGATGGCCAGGTACCTCAAGAGGTTCTGAAAGTTTCATCTGTTCTTGGACCAACTGACCAGAAGCCTGGGTTGACACCAGAACCTTCTAGTTCCTACTCACCACAAGAGAAGCCCATTATTTTTTCCCATCAGGCCTTGCCTGGCAGTCAGTTACTTGAAGAGGCTCTGAAAATTTCAGCTATTCCTGGACCAGCTGACCAGAAGACTGGGTTGCCATCGGAACCTTCTAGTTCCTACTCGGCTAGAGAGAAGCCCGTTATTTTCTACCCACAGGGCTTGATAGATGGCCAGGTACCTCAGGAGACTCTGAAGGTTTCAGCTATTCCTGGACCAGCTCACCAGAAGACTGGGTTGACACCAGAACCTTCTAGTTCCTACTCCCCGTGGGAGAAGCCCATTATTTTCTACCCAGAGGGCTTGACAGACTGTCTGGTATCTCAGGAGGCTCTGAAAGTTTCAGCTGTTCCTGGACCAACTGACCAAAAGATTGGGTTGCCATCAGAACCTTCCAGTTCCTATTCACCTCGGGAGAAGCCCATTATTTTCTACCCACAGGGCTTGACAGATGGCCAGGTGCCTCAGGAGGCTCTGAAAGTTTCAGCTATTCCTGGACCAGCTGGTCAGAAGACTGGGTTGCCATCAGAACCTTCCAGTTCCTATTCACCGTGGGAGAAGCCCATTATTTTCTACCCAGAGGGCTTGGCAGACAGTCAGGTATCCCAGGAGGATCTGAAAGTTTTAGCTATTCCTGCACCAGCTGACCAGAAGACTGGGTTGCCATCAGAACCTTCCAGTTCCT